ATATGTCTAACAACAATGAACATATATGTTACAGTACATTCCAATCTGTTGCTAATTTTCTTTTTCTTTATAAGGTCCATGATATTCTGCTTTGGTAGAATATACATTTTGATTGAAAGTCATTAATATGTACTCTTCACTAAATTTCTTGAGAAAAAGAGTAATCAATAAAGTCCTGATCTGTGGCTCCCTACTCCTCATCCAATTGGTCTTGCTTTGGAAACAAATAAGGAACATGGGTTTCTCAATAGCCCTGATTATTTTCTTTCATAATTTTTCTTCATTTGGAAAATAGAAATTGTAAGTAGTGTATAAAATCTCATTTGCAGATAGCTGAAAGACTCTCACTTAATACAATTTAACTCTATCATCAGTCTTTGGTTTTCAGTGTATATTTTATACCTCATAACAGAAATATCTTTAATGCAGGCACAACAAATGTGCATCTATACATAAAAAAGCTTGAATAATAAAAGTGACATTCACTGCAGCATATCTTCTCCAACTGATTTTCAAGGAAATGTACTTCAAAATATACTCACTTTACTAAAAGATTTTGACAGTGCTTTGAGATGAAACCATTTAAAGGATAGTTTTTATTAAAAATAAAATGTTATAGTTTATGAAATTAAATTCACAGTATATAATATTATAAGCTTAAATATACTTATATAATACAAATATAAGGATAAGAAAAACAATAATTTCTTTCAGGAGGACAATAGGTATATCTTAGTTTCTTCATTTAATATACATATTTGAATATATTCATCCAGTGGCATTTTTATTTAATCAGTATTCAAATATCAGTACTCTAATGAATAATAAAAAATTGTCTTTATTACTATTACTTTGTTTAGGAAATTGTTCTAGTTTTGTTCAATAAGCTCTATACATACCACGATTTTTAAATGATATGAGTCAATTAACATATATAACTTTTTTTATTTTCAATGATTCTATTCTAATGCTGCTTCAAAGAAAAATGAGCTAGCAAGTTAACAAAAGAACTTGAACAAAAGTTCCAAAAACATTTGAATGAAATCAAGTAATGGCTGAAAATTTGAAGGACTATTATTAAAACTTTATATTGTACTTTGAAGTTTCTTCTAGCAATTTTTTAAAAATTTAACTTTAAACCACTATTTTTCAAAATCTTATATTTATATTTGCAACTTCCTATTCTGGTCCATATGATTGTGGTAATTGGCAATTGTAGAAGTTAAAAATATTGTAGAATAAATTTCGCTTTCCAGGAATGTGCAATGTGCACAAGAATTTAATAATTTACACTGTTTCACTATGGTGATTAAGCTACCCAATGAAGAATGGTGTAGAATACCTCTAGGCTTCGGTCACTTGCTAAATTGCACTCCACCTACACATTTTAAGAAGCAAATCAATTTGAGATAGTAAATAATTCAAAAAGTTTTAATAAAATGATTGCTTTATAATCTTAACATTGGGTAAGAATAAATCTCATTTGTAGATTTAGAACATTAAACTTAATGGACTGTTCCATTATTTATATAATATGGAAATATATATACTATTATTTTTATTTAGGCCCTTACAGTCTACATTCATCAAAGTCCTACATACAATTACTCCTGTGCTGCTTTCGAGGAAGACTGGCCCTGAGCTAACATCTGTTGCCGATCTTCCTCTTTTTCTTTTTTCTCCCCAAAGCCCCAGCACATAGTTGTATATCCTAGTTGTAGGTCTTTCTAGTTTTTCTATGTGGGACACCACCTCAGCACGGCTTGATGAGCGGTGAGTAGGTCTGTGCCCAGGATCCGAACCAGTGAACCCCGGGCCACCGAAGCAGAGTGCACGAACTTAACCGCTATGCCACTGGACTGGCCCTCTCCTATGCTCCTTTTGATGGGCTATTGTTTACTTGGACACAAGTAAAACTAAACGAGGAAAAAAATGTGCCTTGGAGATACCAGATTTTTTTGGTTCTTATTTATTAGGGCCATCTCTTTTTCATTCTTTTACATTTCAAAGCAGATAAAATTATAAATAAGTATATGTGTGTGTATATATACACATATATATTCTGTGTGTGTGTGTGTGTGTGTGTGTGTGTGGAAAACAGACTGTCCCAGAATTTGCCAACGTAATAAACATTTAAGAAAGGAGATCTTAATAAACTAAAGTGTTTAGTTCAAGTCCTGTAAAAGGTATTTCATAAGAGTCAGAATAATTTGACATCTTCTTCCTTCATACACTTGGATAATTTTAGGTATCAAACTATATGCAACAAGTCCTTAGATACTTCTGCAACCAAGATAATAAAAACCAGTCATGCAAGAAGTATGCAGTGTATATATTCTTATTCCATTTGTTATCATAACTTACATTTACTCAACACATTTACTGAACAGCTATAATGTAAAATATATTATGCTGGGAATACAAAATATATAAAGCAGCTTGTTAGCTGCAATAATGTAACTAATTGCTGAAGATGATATAAACACATGCATGCATATGTATGTATATGTGTGTGCATATGTGTATGAATTAACTTAGTATTTTATATTCCATATGAATACTTCTTCCATGTAGTATGGTTATCCAAGTTAAGCACAAATAGCATACTTTTAAGAAATCAATATAAAAGAATGTTTACCATTATAAAAATATTATCAGAATTCCTGCATTATTACTTTTGCCGGAATAAGCCTTAGGCAGGCATGCAGGCCGGACCTGCTAGCAGGAATTATGTGCCTGGAAAATCAACGTTTGATTCACTGAGGAATATTCTGGAGTTGTTACCAGTGATTTGTACCTGGCAAACACTCAGACACATAACCAGATTCTTCAGAAGAGTTGGGAATACATGAAAGGGAGCATCTTGAAAGGCATGATGGCATCCTCACCTAGCTGACAAGACTGCTGTCATCCAGCTGACTTCCTGATAGGCCTGGGAAGCTTGCCTCTGAGAGTAAGCGCTGTTAGATTACACCTCCTCTTCTGCGAAGTCATCTGGGGATGCAGATCTTCTCACATACATTAAATCAACTAGACTTTGCCTATGTCTATTGTTGTCTTTTAGTCAATCACATCTTGTGACACTAGAGACTACTGTGCCAGTATTTATTGTCATCCACTATTATTGAATTTTAAAATCTTGTGCTGAACTTAACATTTTCTATGGGACTGATTAAGAAGCAACAACAACAACAAAAAAGGGAAATTTAGCTCACCAATAGAATTCTGGAGATTAGTATATTCTATGGAGATTGAAGATCCTGGTTCTTGAAACTTTAATTCAAAATTCCCTAGAGCCGCTGGGTTCCACAGCTTTTCTTTGTATCAGAGCTTCCTGGAGACATGTGAGCAGAGTGAAAACTAACTGCCCTAATAGCCTTGGGAACACTGAAGCTCGTGCAGACTCCGGAGGAAGCACAGAATCCCGTGATTACCAACAAGAATGAATGTCCCAAATTGTTTCAGCTTCCTCTGCGGTCACTTGAGGGTTTCTCTCTTTTTTTGGAGAATTGAGGAGAGGTTTCTCTCATTCTTTTTTCTTTCTGAAACCTGTTTTCACAGGAACCTCCTACCCATGAGCTTATTGTCATAAGGATAAGGGCCAGTGGGGAAAAATGCAATACCGAAGGGCTGAATGGAGCTTGCTATCTAAATGCTAGTTACATTATTTGGAGAAAAAACTAGTAATCAACTGGAAATCAGCCAAGGGATTTGACAAATATCAGTTTGCACATTTACAGGACAAATAGCATACTGGAATTTGAATTTCCTTAGAATAGGGACAGGGAATGGTTGAGTAGCACCCAGAACCTTGCTCCTCTCCCCCTCCCCCACATACTTTACACATAAATGCATTTGTTGTTACCTGTTCCAAACATAATCCTTCCATATCTCAATTATTCTTTCAAATTTAAAGTCAGTCAATTCAATCTGCCAGCATCCTGAAGTCTAATATCAAAATAGACATTTTTGGAATAAATTCTATTTTCCATTTTCTGAGTTAGAGAAGAACCACAGAAAGAAAACAACATCATCGTTTATTGAAGTGTATAGTTTCATCCAATTCATTCATTGTCTTGAAGACTTTGCCACCATGTATTTAACACATAGTTTATCAACTGAAATTAGCAGCAGCGCTACTGGAGTCTGAACAGACTACGTTCAGCTTTGCTTCTCCTCTTTCAGCGATATTTGCACCACCTGCCATCCGAGCTCCAGGGCATCCTCTAATAACCCAACACCAGCGACACTGTTAAACTTCTTCTTAAATTTGTGAACTTAGGTACTTTTAATACTAAAAGCAAATATAAAGCACACAATGTCTACAAATTTTTTTTGTTAGAACTGTAACTGATCTCACTAAAAATACTTTAAAATCTTTCATATTCAACTCACAGTTAAACAATTATCTGTTAAGAAAGTCAAGTAAAAATTCAGCACCTAATATCTGCCTGAATTATCTCAATATTTGTAGATAATTATGTAATCTACTCAGAACTTCAGATATGCAAACATAGCATTTCAATGATTAGGTCTCCACAATTTAAGCACAGGGATGCCTTAAAATAGGTGGATAGTTTGGGCAAAGGGCACACAATTGCCTGAAGTAGAAACATGAACTGAAAACAAGAGTGTTATAATCCGAATTAGCAATTACTTCCAGTCTCCACTTTGCTTCATTGCACACGGCCAGTTTTTGATCACTAGGGTTGTTGACTCTTTGGCATTACCCAACCACCTAATGACTCTTTGGCATTACCCAACCACCTAACACCATCATAATCATCACACACACACTAATACAATTCTTTTCTATTAGTGTGTATTAGTTCAAGTAATAGGCAGATTTAGGGAAAATTATAGCTTAAATTGGGTAGCAATAACGTAGAAATATTTTATCCTGATCCAGTTTCAAAAATCACCTCATTTTACAGGTAGAATAATGGTAGCATTTCTTCCCTGGTCCCCCAATAGAAACACATAGAAAAAAATTTACTTACACTGCACGATGAGCTGCACCAAGGCTTCTCTTGGTTTCACATTAAATCCATTGTACTGGCTGGTCTGACATCTGTACATTCCCGACATTTCCCTAGATACATTCACAATCCTCAGTGTTCCGTCATAACTCTCCATCTGCATTGACCCATCAGGCATTGCAACTTCCTTATCCGCTCTAGACCAAAGGATGATGGGTTTAGGTTTTCCAGTTACTTGACATTGCAGTTCTATTGTGTCTCCTTCTCTGGTGACCAAAGGTGATTTTTCCTGTGGAACAGTCAGATTGGGTGGAACTTGAAATGGGAAAAAGAAAATTTTTCAAGGTTAGTATAAACTGGTAAAGCATATTCAAACACAGAAAATCATAAGGAAACAATTTCTGCTGGTTGAAGAAATGTGGTAATTCAGATGAAAAAAGTCATAGAGACCTTGGGAATAAGTGGCACATACTCCCCCTTAGAATATTCTGAATTGTTTTCATGGAACTCCCTCAAATGAGGTCTTCAAACATTAGCAAAATAAATAAAGCATTAAATTGGACCGTGAATGGTCAACATGAGAACAATACACTCAATGACTTGTCATTATCAGCCATTAACTGGGTCTTTAGAATCTGCCTTTCCAGAAGAGTGATCCCGCCAGCTGAGGGTAGGATTCAGCTTTCAGTCTTCTGCTTCCTGCACTCTTCCCTCTTACCCAAGGACAAGAGAGGGATAAGGGGCATTGTAGACTTAGCAGACACACTAAACACAAGTAGCAGGAGAGGGGAAAAGAAGAACCTCTGATATAAATCAGAAGTTTTGACTCCAGTTTAGAAACTTGCCAAATTGCTTATGTTTAGGGTTTGTTTTCTCCCCAGTGGAAATGGAATGGAACAATTGACTACAATGCCACTCTGACAATCCACTGTATTCTTCTCTTTCGGGCTTTAATATTTTTTGACATTTGAATTTCAGAGAATTTCACATTAAGACATTTTTAGATCATTGTAAATAGTTTGTCATGGTTTGTCACTATTTCTGTAAAATTAACTTTAGGTGAATTTTCAGAAATATATTTCAATGATATAAGAATTGTAATTTTCTCAAGTAAAGATAATTTCTGATTTTCTGAAGATATTTATGAAAAAAATAGGGTGATTTTACTGGAACTTACTTTACTGTGCTGGAATATATTTATGTTAGGGTTTAGTGAAAAACATGAACCAGTAAGAGGCAAGTACTACTCAATGAGTTTTCTTTTAAACAATATAAACTGTTCCATTGGAAGACTTTTATTTTGTATACAAATGTATATGAATTAAAATGTATTTATGCAATAGACATCTATCAAAAAAGCATGGGCTAAATTAGAATGCCAGAATAAGAATAACCAGAAATATATGAATAATTCTATCCTTCCGATAAATGTCATATGCTCCCTTTGGAGGTAGTACTGCAGATGGATGAAAAGGCAAAGGATTTGTTCTCCCTGCTAGCATTACTGCGCTCTAGTGCCCGGGAACAAAAACAAACATAATTAATTTGTAAATTAGTTTTCAATGAATGTTGAAATGTTGTTTCTCTTATTATACGTAGAGAAACATAAATTCAAGTCCAAAGTGATATGAGAATTAATTATTTTGCTATTTAAGTATCTTCAGGTCTACTTTTTCATTTAATTCCTTCATTTACTTCTTATTTAAAAAAAACTAGTTAAATAATACATAGCATCTTAGAAGTTAGAAAATATGAAACATGAACCACCAACTTCTTGAAGTAGATATATACGATCTAGGAGTTGGCAATAACAAAATATATGTTTAAAAATGGCTGCATTTTAAAAATCTACATGATTAAATAATTTATTCTTGTAAATATAAACAATTAAATGATTTAGTTAAATAACTTGTTCTTTTTTGAAGTGAATCACAAGGCAATGATGCAATTCTAAGCAGCATCTTGTAACAATAGGATCAGAAAGAAGCTGCAATTTTTATTCACTATGCCAGGCATAGTTCAGGATTTTACATTTTCATTTAATTCCCTTGATAATCCTAAGGATCAATTATTTAATAATGAAATTTAACAACTGAGAACACTGAGAATAAGATAGGACGAATACTTTGAACTGAAAAAAATCCAAATTGAGGCCAATTTACAGCAGGCGGCCAATGTAGAAACATGACCCCTGAAGCAGCTTCAATAAACTACGGCATCTGGAATAAACAACCTGAGTTAGCACTGGACTCCTCTCCTCCTGCTCATGGCCGCTCTGCTCCTCTGGGCAAACTGGACCAATTTCCCTGCCCATCTCTTGGTCACTGTCTCAGGCGCAACAAGAAAGAGTCAAGGCAGAAATGTGAGGGGGTAAATAACACTTATTTTGCAAACTACCCTATCTATCTATTGTATATTTTATATACCTATATCTATCTTAAATATCTGTTTCTATCTATATTAGAAAATTTCCCATACATAAGTCAGCACTGCTTATAAGATAAACCAATCCAAATAAATATCCAAATTTTGATAAATTTATGTGAAATAAATGAAAAGAAATTATGAATTAAAAGATTATTTAATGGAGTGTTATTATTTGACATCTTCCATCCTCTTCTCTTCCAAAAACAAGCCACATGACCTTGGCCAAACTTCACCACTCTGAGCATTAATGTCTTCATTTTTTAAACTAAGAATTTGTACTTTATGAGCCCCAAAGTTGTTAATATTCTAACTATAGGAACAAATAGTAAAGAATTAATGATAGAAGTGGTGCTAAATGAAAGTATTTATTTCCTGACTTAATAAGATGGATATTTAAAGATCTTATTACATTAGGCCATTCTAATAAAAATTGATCCTTGACTAGCTATATTTTTTATCATGCTAAATAGTTCAAAAATTCTTTTTAAATTTGTTTGTTATTCATTTCTTTAGATAAACTTTCCTCTCTATGTAATCAAAACTACAGAAATGTAAACCTCAGTTTTAATCTAAGTAACTTACAAATAGATTTTTTAATAAATTAGACCAATTTTTGCTAAACAGCAAAGTCTAATTAAAATATAGTGTATTCTCCATCTCTTCCACGAGGTCTTTTAAATCTTGAAATCAGAGTTAATCCTTTCTTTGCAACTCTCTTGGCCAAGAAGACCTTACAACTTCTCAAAGTTTTTATAGGCTCCTCTCTCTCTGTCCACATTAAATTTTCCTTTCTCTAGCATTCCATACTCAACTCTGATTACTATAAATTTTTCTATTAGGAGATCCCCTTTGTTCTCATGAATTTCTCTGCTTTATATGTTGATAATATAAATTCTAACTTTATCCCAAGACTATGATTGGAGCCAATTTGTAGAGTCCCAAAGTCTTTCAAATCCCCAGGCCTAAGCACTATTTATTTCTTGACTTAGTGGAGAGTTAATTATCAACACATCTCATCTGCTGATTAACAACCATAGAGCTTTCTTTGTTTTACCACTTTCCCTTCCTCACCACTTCCAATCAGCTGCCTTGGTTCCTCTATCAAAAAGTCTCTCATATCTGTCTATTCTTTTCCTGGTAGAAGTCGTCACTCTCTCTTCTTGTGACGGTGCCCTAAGTGGACTCTTTGTCACCAATCTAATTCCTCCAGGCCCCCGCTACCCTGTCATAAGCTTTATCATCATAAGTACAATTCTGCTCACGTCACTAGGAAAACTAGTATCCTCATTGAGAGTGCTCTTCATGACACTGCTTTAATAAAAAAAAAAAAATGAAAGCCTGACGGATTTATTAAATAAATCGTAGTACAGTCACACAAGAGAATACGATGCAGTCTTTTTAAAGGATGATGTAATAGACCTACATTTATTGATAAAGATATATATTGTTAAGCAAGAAAAGCATGCTAGTGAATAGTATGAATAGCTGTAACTACTATTAATAAGTGAGTACAACATGTTGCTGAGCAGTATGAACATTAGCATCAAATTTTGATATAAAAAATAAATATGCCAATGAATGTTATATACGCCCATGAATGTTAACAGGGAGCTTCTTTAAGGGGAGAATATATATGATTCATTATTGTATTGTCAGCATCCAGCACTCTATTTTGCACATGATAGGAACTCAGTAAAAAGTTTTACATCGAATGTACAAATTAAGACAGTGAGGCAGTTGTACCCTGATTCAGGGAAGAGAAGGAGACTTATATGGGGAAAAATCTAGATGAAAAAAAGGCCCAGAAAGAACTATACCAAAACACTAACAGTGGTTCTCTCTGAGAGTGGAGTTATTGGTAAATTTTATTTTCTTTGTATATTTTCCTTCTTTTTCACTCTCCTACAATATGTGCAGTGCTATCAGCATATTTCAGGCTATAAGAAGCCCAGAAGAACTTAAAATGTTAATGCAATCTATTTTCCAAAGCTCATTTGATGAAAACTCCACTTTTTAATAACACAAATGTATCACTCTAGACATGGTGTTCTGGACCACACAGTCTGAGCAATGCTCCTGTAGAACAGCTCACTCCTATAACCCTCATTCACCTGCAGTTTCACTGATGAGGGAACATCAGTGCCCTGAACAAGCAGTTCTTTCCCATGTTCAGCATGTCTGGTCCTTGCTGTCTTCTAGCACCCCTGCTGCCCCATGTGTTGAGATTCAGGTCAAACATTACCACTTTTACAATAATGTTGCCTACCCCTAGGCAGAGTGGGCGGTCTCTCTTCCTGAGCACATGTTACATTGTATACCCATTCAACGTGTTCTCCTGGCTTTGCCCTACATTTTCTCCTTTGTCTGTATCCCTGACCAGACAGCAACCTTGAAGGCACAGAATTCTTTCTCTTTCACTAAAGCCTGCTGCCCTCCTTTCCTGCTTGGCATAGACAGGAAGTCATGAGATAATTTAGGAAGGAAGGGAGGGAGAGAGGGAGAGAAGGGTAAGAAGGAAAGCAGATAAAAACTATGAACATAATAGAAGTAAACCTAATAGATAAAAATCATGAACATTTTAGAACAAAAGTGATAAAAGCAATGAAATGTAATTCTACAATTAGTTGCCCATACAAGTTGCAGAATCTTCTGCAAAATATTTTGTTAGTATAGATTTCAGATGCAGTCAATCTTGGGATGTGTGGGGTGTGTGAGAGAGTTAAGAGTCAAAAAAGGACTCTTCCAATTTTCCTTTTCTTTCTCTTTTCATTTAAAGATTCAGATACATAAGCTATAAATTAAAAACAAGAACCACAACAACAGAGGAAAGAGCCAATTTGAGGATATGCCATTTAATTTTGTCACGATATTTTTTTATGTCTTTTCCC